GTTGCCCAAGTTTTGGGCTCAATCCGAAATTAATAGGAGTTTGAAATTGGACAATCCAAGTTCAAAGGCAGTTCGTTCCTAATTGGAGTGGTTGGTGTTTTGGGTAGTTCTAGAGATTATATTTCACTCAAACCTAACCAAATGACTCCTCCCATCAAATTATGATGTTGCCCAAGTTTTGGGCTCGATCCGAAATCAATAGGTGTAAGAAATTGGAAAATTTTAGTTCAAAGGCAGTTCGTTCCTAATTGGAGTGGTTGGGGGTTTGGGTAGTTCTAGGGATCGGATTTCACTCAAACTTAACCAAATGACTCCTCCCACCATATTATGATGTTGCCCAAGTTTTGGGCTCGATCCGAAATCAAAAGGGGTAAGAAATTGGACAATTCAAGTCGAAAGGCAGTTCGTTCCTAATTGCGGTGGTCATTGTATTGGGTAGTTCTAGAGATCGGATTTCACTCAAAATTAACGAAATGACTCCTCCCGCCATTTTATGATGTTGCCCAAGTTTTGGGCTCAATCCGAAATCAATAGGTGTCAGCAATTGGAAAATTTTAGTTCAAAGGCAGTTCGTTCCTAATTGGAGTGGTTTGTGGTTTGGGTAGTTCTAGAGATCGGATTTCACTCACACTTAACCAAATGACTCCTCCCACCATATTATGATGTTGCCCAAGTTTTGGGCTCGATCCGAAATCAATAGGTGTAAGAAATTGGACAATTCAAGTCGAAAGGCAGTTCGTTCCTAATTGCGGTGGTTATTGCATTGAGTAGTTCTAGAGATCGGATTTCACTCAAAATTAAACAAATGACTCCTCCCACCATATTATGATGTTGCCCAGGTTTCGGGCTCGATCCGAAATCAATAGGTGTAACAAATTAGACAATTCAAGTTCAAAGGCAGTTCGTTCCTAATTTGAGTGGTTGGTGTTTTGGGTAGTTCTAGAGATCGGATTTCACGCAAACTTCACCAAATGACTCCTCCCACCATATTACGATGTTGCCCAAGTTTTGGGCTCGATCTGAAATCAATAGGCGTAAGAAATTGGACAATTCAAGTTCAAAGGCAGTTCGTTCCTAATTGGAGTGGTTGGTGTTTTGGGTAGTTCTAGAGATTGGATTTCACTCAAACTTAACCAAATGACTCCTCCAACCATATTATCTTGTTGCCCAAGTTTTGGGCTCGATCCGAAATCAATAGGTGTAAGAAATTGGACAATTCAAGTTCAAAGGCAGTTCGTTCCTAATCGGAGTGGTTGGTGTATTCCTTAGTTTTTGAGCTCGGATTTCACTCAAAACTAACCAAATGACTCCTCCCACCATTTTGTGATGTTGCCCATGTTTTGGGCTCGATCCGAAATCAGTAGGTGTAAGAAATTGGACAATTAAAGTTCAAATGCAGTTCGTTCTTAATTGGAGTGGTTGGTGTTTTGTCTAGTACTAGGGATCGGATTTCACTCAAACTTAACCAAATGACTCCTCCCACCATATTATGACGTTGGCCAAGTTTTGGGCTCGATCCGAAACCAATAGGAGTAAGAAATTGGACAATCCAAGTTCAAAGGCAGTTCGTTCCTAATTGGAGTGGTTGGTGTTTTGGATAGTTCTAGAGATCGGATTTCACTCAAACATAACCAAATGACTCCTCCCACCATATTATGATGTTGCCCAAGTTTTGGGCTCGATACGAAATCAATAAGTGTAAGAAATTGGACAATTTATGTTCAAAGGCAGTTCGTTCCTAAGCGGAGTGGTTGGGGTATTCCATAGTTCTAGAGATCGGATTTCACTCAAAACTAACCAAATGACTCCTCCCACCATATTATGATGTTGCCCAAGTTTTGGGCTCGATCCGAAATCCATAGGTCTAAGAAATTGGACAATTCAAGTTCAAAGGCAGTACGTTCCTAATTGGAGTGGTTGGTGTTTTGGGTAGTTCAAGAGATCAGATTTCACTCAAACTTAACCAAATGGCTCCTCCCACCATATTATGATGTTGCCCAAGTTTGGGGCTCGATCCGAAATTAATAGGTGTAAGAAATTGGACAATTCAAGTTCAAAGGCAGTTCGTTCCTAATTGGGGTGGTTGGTGTATTCCACAGTTCTAGAGATCGGATATCACTCAAAACTAACCAACTGACTCCCCCCACCATATTATGATGTTGCCCATGTTTTGGGCTCGATCCGAAATCAATAGGTGTCAGAAATTCGACAATTAAAGTTCAAAGGTAGTTCGTTCCTAATTGGAGTGGTTGGTGTTTTGTGCAGTTCTAGAGATCGGATTTGACTCAAACTTAACCAAATGACTCCTCCCACCATATTATGTTGTTGCCCAAGTTTTGGGCTCAATCCGAAATCCATAGGTGTAAGAAATTGGACAATTCAAGTTCAAAGGAAGTTC